TATAATAGGGTATATAGGGGTTATACAAGGGCCATATTGGGATAATGGAAAATGACATGGAAACTGCTATAACAGGGTATATAGGGGTTATACAGGGGCTATATTGGGATAATGGAAAATAACATGGAAACAGCTATAACAGGGTATATAGGGGTTATATAAGGGCCATATTGGGATAATGGAAAATAACATGGAAACTGCTATAACAGGGTATATAGGGGTTACACAGGGGCTATATTGGGACAATGGAAAAAACATGGAAACTGCTATAATCAGGAAAAAAGGGGTTATATTATTCATCTCTGACTGAACAGTGTTCATTCTGGATGCCATTCGACGAGCTAAGAGCCAAGCCGCTGGCAGCGCTGCAGATCAGGGAAGAACCCAACAACGTGGTACGAGTGGATGTCTCCTGGGAGACATCAATTTCCATGATCCCAATATAGCCCCTATATCACCCCTATATACCCTATTATAGCAGTTTCCATGAGAGAGAGAGAGAGAGAGAGGGTGGGGCAGAGGAAGAGGGAGGGTGGAGTGGGAGTGCGAGGAGTGCGAGCAAGCTTGCTTGCGCCCAGTTGCAAGGTCTGTCTGCAAAGACAGGAAACTGGAGAATCTGACAGCATGCTGAGGCCCTTTCCAATGAGCCGTGGCACACCCGCGTGGCAACCGATGCATTGCTGACCTCAACCACTGGCTAGCCAAGCAAGTGTCGACGACCTACACTGCAAGTGGTCTCTCTGCCATCTCAAGTCTCTAGCCTCTGCTCGCTACATACGCCTCACCTTGTCATGATAGCTTTGGGCTAGATTTTCTCAAGTGTCAACATGCCCACGCAGGGATCATCGTTCAGAGAGAGCACGCCCATTTTCTCGGGTAATGTTGGGCGGGACGGAAGTTCCACATTTCCAAATGAGCACAAAAACTGCTGCATCTGTGGCAACACTGCAACACTGCACGTCCATGCAACAGAGAGCTCCTATGGTGTAGGAAGCCGAGCTATCCAAGCTGGGCGCGTCTGCATCATTTGCGAGCACCACGAACATGGGAACAGTCACATGGTAACAGCAACAACATCGTGGTCAACAGTATTTGCCTGCTAGAGGCGGCTGGCTTCCTTGATCCTAGATGGAGTCTGACACAATGTTGGACTGCAGAAATAGTTTCAACTGCAATCCGAGCCTGTCTGCAGCTCGCATGGATGCAGGAATTTCTAGTTAAACCATATATCCAAGCTTGCGTACCGCAGAAAAGCCGAGATCCACTAACATTCAGCGCCACAAGCCAGTTCAGCCAGTTCTAGGAACTCTGTGGCTTGATGGTTGATCCCTTGGCAATGCTGCCCCATCCAATGAGACGCCAGTGCTTGTCAATCCTGCGAAGGCAGAACCACATCACTGTACTGACATGGCGATAGCTAAACCTCGGCTCGCAAAGCTTCGTAGTCAAGAACAAATAGAACAAAAATGTAGCCTTCCCCCATGATTTCAGTTATCGTGCGCGAGGGCTTTAGCAGCTGCAACCGTGACAACCAGGCCTTCGGCTGAGGGCAACCTTGTCGCCTTCCTGTGTGCAGACCTGGGAAGATCTGCGTCCACTCTTGCTGCACAGTTGGGCTACAACCCCATGAGCTGCTTCCATGGACAGGCAGGCGGCAGGATGCGTCAGGGTAATTCGGGCGTAATCGTTGTCGTCCTTGATACCCAGTACCTGATGCAAGCAAAGCCCTGATGGCTGCTTTGAGGCCAGAGCCGAGTGAACTGCGAGAACAGTACAGGGCCACAGGATCCAAGCTCAGCAAAGCAAGGGCACTCTCCCGCCCGCAGCTGTAGAGCCGATGTTGACCTGGGCAGCGGCAAGTACACTTTCCTCTCCATGGCCCCCGGAGACTACCGGTGGCTCTGTCCTGCATGCTCTCCAAGCCATCACACAATATTCATCAAGCCAAGGCAGCAAAAACCGGATGCCCAGTCTGCCAGCCGAGTGACCATGAGGATCTCGCCCTTCTTGAGCTTGGCCACCTTTCCAGCCTCCGCACCAAGATGGTGGCAAGTGCAACTCGAGCACATAGTACATTTGCAAGCTACATCCACGCACGTCGATCTACATCTCCTAGGAAGCATAGATTGCAAAATGCAATCTATCTGTCCCGGGAAGCATGTAGTGACACAGACTAGACCACATGACATCACGTAGGCCAGCGCCTTGCCATCTCCATCGGTTTTGACTCCCAGCAGCCGTCGCAGCAGATAGAACTTCACCTTCCGGGCTACTAGTTGCTGAGGGTCGCTCCTCCTGCTACTGTGCAATACTGTGCACTTTCAGGGTGGTGTGATTCGCAGGGATAGGCCGCCACCCTCTTACCCTGCCCCAGCACAAGCTCGGACAACACCACACTGGCCTCAATCTCAATGTAGATGCCTTGGCTGAACAAGACTTCCACCAGTGTTCAGCCTACAATACCCAAAAGCATCACTGAGACGGGCTGTGAGGAGACAACACCGGCATCGATGAAGCCCAGCGTCTGGGAAGCTTTCCCGGATGTCCGAGCACGTGGCCCACAAGCTTGTCTGCACCTGAGCTTAATCAAACTGGTTGGTTTCTGCCGCATTCTACGAGTAGCAGGAAGGACCAGCACTTTCCTGCAAATGATGCTGAACAAGTCTGGACACGAGTCAGCTTGGGGTCGATCTTGGTGCCAACTCCAATGAGGCCACCAGGGACCGCGAACTGCAGCGCGTTTTGCTCAGCAAGGAGCGACATGATTCCTCAGCATCTCCGCTATACATTAGCTTTCTCACATGGGTGGCCTACCTGAAAACTTCCCGAGGGAATTCTACAGCCGTTCCATGGCACTTTACCGAGGACCAAGGCACGGGAGCGGATTGGACGGCACTGGACGTTGTCAGCGGAATCTTTGGTGACGATGCCTGGCCTAATCTCCTCGGCGGCTTCTTCAGTGGACAAAAGAAACTGCACTTCTGCCTGCGCAACAGCGGACGGGTTCAACACAGGATCTTCAAGCACTGCTTCTGTGATACGCATCTGAAGACAAGGGGCGATTTCATCTCCCATTTTGAGCACCTGTGGCTGCAGAAGCTCATGCCGATCTCAGACCCCCCCCCCAGCGTACCATTCAGCGCTTGACGTCAATGTTTTTCTCAATCAATACATTGAGACACTTGCTGTTGTCGCAGAGAACCTGCTGAGCAGCAAGCAGCTCGCAAATCTCAGCCAAGGAGCGCCCTTCAGGATGGAACCGCCGGCGACTCCTCCCTTTAGGTTGGCCACCTCCTCTCCCGGCCTGACAAGGGTACTTTACAGTTACAGGCCTACTGCGGAAATCTTTTTCCCAGCCCAGACGCCCGACAAAAGCAGAGGATGCCCTACCATCTGAGTGGTGGACCGACCTACACTGCTCAGTAGCTAGCTGCCAGGCTGCGGCACATGATGCATCTCAAACTCCAAGTGCTTCGGCCTTTGCTACCCCTCGTACTCGCGAACATGTACAATCACAGCCTGCCTGTTGACGTCAAAAGATCTGATGATGATCATCACCGGCATTGACGTGAAGTCGCGAGGTGGAATGGGCACTTGTGTGCACAGGTATTCGCCTCAGCCACACAAAAATTGCACAAATCGGCCAGCCAGGAAGTCTTGCAAGTCCTGCTGCAAGCTTTTTGGTTGGGTGGCAGAAATGCGCTGTAGAATTCTGTAGACCACCCTTTTTCAATATTTGGCGCACCTGCTTCCCTGGAGTCACAACATCTGTTGGCGCTTGGTGCCTATCTGCATGTAGCAAGTTGCAAATCACATCCAGGTTGTACTTCAGGACGGCACCTTTCGCACCAAAGTCGCATTGAAGCACAGCAGTCCGATCCGCACACCCAGGCCAGCCATGACACTGAAGTCACACATGACATGCAAGACAGCAGAATTTGTGCCAAGCGTCTGATTGGAATAATCGGCGAACTATCCTCAGATGCACACCGCAAGGCCAGGTCGCGTGGGGGCTCTTGATTCTGGATGCACACCGCAGAATCCGCAGAATGTGTCAACTTTCTTGGCCACAACCAAGAATGCTAACATTGCATGCCAAGAGGCTGCTGCTGTGCCTGCAACGAACTTCTTGATCTCCTCGTAGCGGGACTCCGCCTCCTGCTGCTTGATGAGCTCAACCTGGAAACGCAAGTTGAGAACTGGAATTCGCGTTTAGTTCCCTGACGCGGAGATTCGTCCAGGTCTTGGAGGCCCAGGAACATCTGAATGTGACAGACTCATGGAAATGGATCTCACGCCATTCCATAATGGCTGCCTAGACCTACTGACCCGCACATGTGCTAGGATGATCCGAAAGCGACGCGCGAGGGTTCAACATGCTGAGCCAAGAAGATGCGAACGGCTGCCTTGTTCTGGAGGATGATGATATGCTTCAGCCGCATGATTTCCTTCGATTGAAAATTGGGTCATCTGCTCGCATGTCAGCTGCATGGCGTGGCAGGAGGAATCCAAGCCGGAAGCTCACAGCACATGACCAAGAAAAGAAAGGCTGAACCACATGGATCCATTTGCTGCAAAAGAACTGGTGCTAGATTGGCCCAAAAACCATGATTATACTATGGTAGTTGTAGCTTCTTTTCCATTATCCCAATATGACCCAATTTAATCCCAATATGCGCCCAATCTAATCCCAATATAACCCCAATTTAATCCCAGTATAACCCCCATACATCCCAATATAACCCCATTGAAATCCCAATATAATCGCGAATTTAATCCCAAGAACCCCGGTACATGGCATGCTCCGGTCAAGGTGCCACAGCTGCAAGGTGCTCAGAAGTCTGAGGCTGCGGGCATGTCTCATTTCCTGTGCCGGGGGGGTGGGGGGTGTAGGTAATTTTGGGAGAAGATAGGGTAGTTTTTTGGATTATTTCGGGTAGTTGGGCAATGAATATAGGGTTATATAGGGTTATGTAGGGATAATGGAAAAGACTATGGAAGCTACTCAATAGAGCACTCGCAGCAAGTGGCCCCAGGCATGTCTGACTGTGGCACTTCACTTTCTGCTCTTTGTCCTGCAATCACTAGAAGGGCTGCATCCATGACAGCAGCTCCGTTAAGCATTGTAGCCATGAGGATATCCTTGGCTCATCGCAGGGAAGAAACATTGGATGTGACAAACACTTGGCATCGAGCGGCCTTGAAAGGGGACTGCAGGGGGTTATATAGGGGGTAGAAGGTTCAGGAATGAAAACAAAACGGAAAATACGCTAGGCTTTTCTTTGCCAATTGCAAGGTCCGAGGGTACCAGAAGAATGCAGGGAAAAGAAAATGGAAACTGGGGTTATGAACTTGGAAATGCCCGCGCTCAAAAATGTCGAGGCATCAGAGGCCGGTCCCAAGTTCTGCAATGCCAAATAAATCTCCGATGCTGTTACTTTCCTCCGAGAGGCGTGTCCAGGGCAGTCCACGAAAGACACATGGCGAACCAGCCTGATCCAGCTACGCAGGCGACGGACAAAAACTCTTGCAACGAGGTCACAGAAACAGAAGGCCAGCGCGCGAGAGAGACAGAGAGAGAGAGAGATATTCAGAGACAACAATTGAGATTGAGATTGTTAGAACCACCGCGGTCAGCCTTTGTTGTCGTCGATATGGTTACTATCGCTGTGTCTTGCTGTGAGAGTTGGCTTTCGTGGAAGGTAACCACCGAGGCTTGCGTGATGGTGCTGCCAAAAAAAGGCTGCTGCGCTCGCCTCATGTCGTCTACGACGTCTGGGGTCGAGCTGCCGGAGGACCAGTAGGGATGGTCCTGCAAGTTGCTGATCTACCATCCAGCCACCGCTGTTCCACTGCATGCTGCCCAGTCAAGGCCCGACTGCCTCCCAATTATTCTGACCGACTACTTGCAAAAGCTCGTTATTGCTAGTCTTCCAGCCCTGCCAGAACCCCACTCGCAATTAGCGTCCCTTGGCAGACCGCTTCAAGAGCATGCACCCTTTGCTGCCTGGCTACCTCCAAGTCGCGTGCGGGTTGCTCAAGACTTATGACCCAGAGACCGGATCACAAAGGGGTACAGGAGCAATGTTTGAGTCTCATGCACAATTACCCCAATATTACTCAAATATAACCCAATATACTATAGTAGTTTCCATTTCTTCTCCATTACCCCAATATTAGCCAAATATAACCCAATGTACTATAGTAGTTTCCATTTTCTTCTCCATTACCCCAATATTACCCAAATATAACCCAATATACTATAGTAGCTTCCATTTTCTTCTCCATTACCCCAATATTACCCAAATATAACCCAATA